GCCCTGCCTGCTCACCTGGGGAGACCCAGGAGGACACCCGTGACGACCTCGGGCACGGCCCTGCCTGCTCACCTGGGGAGACCCAGGAGGACACCTGTGACAGCCTCGGGGCACGGCCCTGGCTGCTCACCTGGGGAGACCCAGGAGGACACCTGTGACAGCCTTAGGGCACGGCTCTGCCTGCTCACCTGGGGAGACCCAGGAGGACATGTGTGATGGCCTGGGGACACGGCCCTGCCTACTCACCTCTGACCAGTCTCCCGATCTCCACTGCGGACAAGGGAGCTCGTTGCACCTCTGAGTGGTAACCTTTGCCTGGTGGGCGCATTTGCTGTCGTCCAGGACGTCATTTTGGGTGTTCACACAAACAGCCCGTCTCCTCTGGCTTCCGCTGTCACAGCTCTTAGAACACTAAGGACGCAAAGGGGACAAAACCATCACTGAGATTCTCATAACGTGTGCTCAAGGTCCTGTCGAGGCTCCTCTCCGCCCTAGGAACCATCCCTCACTCCTGACTCACTTCAGTTTCCATTTTGAGCAGATCTTTTCATGCTATCGATTTATTTACCAGGTATGCACTGACATCCGTTTTAGCTCCCCAAATAAAGTTGGAAATGGCTCATGGGTACTCAAAAGCAAGGGGCTGGCCTGCTTGGCCACGCCCCACTTCCCACACGTCAGGTTTGCGTCAGACCTTACGAACCAATCATGGGATGCTTCTCTGCGAGCAGGAATGGGCTTGGCCATCAGTTACGGGTCTTTTTCCACCAAGACTAAGTGGGGTATCTTAATAGTCCCTCAAGGGGCGGACTCATCAGACCTGGCGTTTGCACGAGGAACGAAAAGTGCCTACCTCCGTCCATGCCGAGTAGCGCCAGCCGCCCGTGCTGCACTCTCCTGAGCACTTCTCCTGGCTGCTTGGTCTGGGGTGACTGCTGCAGAAGCTCTCGTGCACCTGCTCGACCGTCCCATCCAGCCTGCTGTACTTGGCACAGTAGATGTCTAACGTGCGGTAGCCCGGCCCGCACTGGGCGTTGCACTCGCTCCTGCCGGCCACATGCCACCTGGAGCCAACAGCGGGACAAATGCACGTTTCTGTTAAACATGCACATGCCTTGTCCAGCTAGGGGTACACCTGGGTCCTTTATCTTCCTTAACTCAAGCACCGTGAAGCTTGAAACACAGTTACTAAGAAGTGATTTTCAACCAATGTGCCCATGCCATTGTTAGGGCGGCCAAGGTACGTTGAAGTCACAGCAGGCGCCAGAGGCCCTACCTCTGCGGTGGTGTTCTGAGAGCTCATTTGGAAATTCAAGTCACCAGAAGGAAAAAAAAATGGAACAAAGAGCAAAGAAGAAAGTTTCTACTTAGAAAGCTCCTGTAACTGGCTCTCCACGTGGCTTCAGAGTGAAGGGCCTGGAAACCCAGCCAGGGCTAGGAAGTGCTCAACAGGCATGCTGTGAAGCGAGGACAGAATGAATGACTCGGGCTCCAGGTGTGCCAAGCCCTGTCTGTGCACTGCTGCCCCAGTGTAAAGTGTGTAAATTCCTTGAAAAAGACGTGAACAGTTTTCCATAAAACCTACGACTTTTAAAGTTTAGGTCCTACTCTATAAACCCAAAACGAGGCCATGGCGTGCTTTATAGTCCCCGGAGCCATGAGGAAACTTTCTCAGTAGACAAAGTGCTCAGTATCCCCCAAGAACTGTCTGGTTCTATTATTATTATGCCTTTGGTCCAGGGTCTCACTACTCAGCTCGGACTTGTAGTGATCCTCCTGTTTCAGCCTGCCCGGCGCTGGCATTGTAAGCCTGTACCACCCTGCTGGGTCTCAGCGGCTGGCTCAGTGCACCCGGGGGTGGAGCTGGCGTGGCACGTGGTATTGGAGTTCAAGCCTGGGTCCTTGCGCTTGCCTAAGCAGGTGCTTAGTCCACTGAGCTATCTCTCCAGCCCTGTCTGATTCTTTTAATGCCCTAGAAATATGGACAGCAGTGTTTGAAAATAAATAAAATGCTTAAATTGAATAGCCCACATCAGTGAATGACATTTTGGCAGTCACATTTACCAGTCCATAAAAGACAACTTCTTATGATCTTCATTTTGTTTCACTCTCATTTGCTAACTCACTGGACTCAGAAATCAAGTGCTTTTCTGATTTCTGGTGCTATCAGTGGTCATCCATGCAAACTGCGTGGAGGGCTTGACTGTGAACAGAGGAACCCTGGCCACGCCGCTGCCCAGCCCTCCTCAGCAGCACCCCAAGGTAGGTCAGAGGTGAGCTCTACCAGGGAAGTGGGTCAAGGAGACTGCTCCTTAGAAGAGGTACAGCATCAGCAGGATTCTGCTCTGACCGAGCACACAGCTGTGTGGCCTTATCTTATCCTGTCACAGTTTAATCAAGGCAAACTCACTTCCTGCAGGAAATGAGGCAGAAGTATGGGCCAATTCAAGGCAGCATCTGGAACTTTCATCTGCGCTTTGATTCTTGGCTACCTTGTTTGCCTTTGTCACTGCTGCCCCATGGAAAGGTTATTTTCCATCTGGGCAAAGCAAGGCAGGCATCCTGCCACGTGAGACAACACCCCAGGAGGGAGCAGGGGCTGCAAATGTCATTTCCCTCATGTTCATAGAACCCCAGAAGCTAAGTGGAGAACCTAGAAGAGTCCAGGGAAGGCCAAGGCACTGCCTTAGAGAACTCTTCTCCCGATGCTGTCACCTGTTGCTTGGTTCACTTTCAGGATGATGATCTTCAGGATTTTGAATTTATTTGGCTCATTTCATGGAAAATGAAACCCAACTGTAATCAATTACTGTATTTCAGAAAAGCGTATTTCACTGTGTTTGTTAGCAGGTGGAAACCGAGAAGAAACGTGTGGTACTGTTGTGGGGTGGATGCGCAGTGCTGGGGGGTCCAGGGACTCAGAGAACCAGCACAGGGCGCAGGTTCTCCACTGCGGAGCTGTCCACTGCTGGCCAGCAGCTGGAGCTGTCACCTGGGAGGGAGACACGTAGGAGGCATCCCACCCCAGTGTGCCAAAGATCATGCTGCAGAAGGACTGATTCACAAACATTGTTTTGGGAAAAACTATTCTAGAACTGGGCTGTTTAGTGACAATCTCTATGGTTCCACAGGTAAGCCGCCAGAGGCAGTAAGCTGGAGCACATTGACATCGGCATTACAGAACAAAGGCACTTCCCCCTCTTTAGGCCTGGTGTGTGTGTGCGGAGTTTTCAGTGAATAACTTCATTTTTAAATAACCTGTAAAAGCCAGCAATATGTGAGTTTGAGTGCTGACAAAAAATACCATGACCTTCTGTTTTAGGTATGAATTCTACTTGTCTAGTTGTTAGGTGGTTGTAAGCTAATCCTAAACTCTTTTTCTTTTACTTTTTAATTCCTACACCAGTTGCCTGCACCTCCTAAGAAAGTGCATGCCACAGCTGCTTCTCCCTCTCCTGTCCTTCCGCAGAGGGGCTGTCGTTCTAGGCCTGTACCCCCAGCCACTAGCCTTGTTTGGTCTCGGCAGAGCTTAGAACAGCACACTTGACACAGGCGCTGCATGAAGTGAAGACTCTAAGCTCTGGCTTCAGCCAGGTTTGTGAGATGACAAGCAATGGACTCAGGGCAGGCATGTCTCTGGGCTCTCCTGCATCCTGTGTCACAGCCCAGGCCTCCTCACCGGGACATGGGAGCAGCACTGGCTCTCAGGGCTATCAGGGATCAGGTAGGGCAAGGCTTGCATTGCATACAGGACAGACACTCAGGAAAGCCAGCCCTGACCGCGAGGACTTGCTTTACTCTTGGTGTTTCAGTCTGCAGAGAAACGTTGGCTACCACAGAACTGCACAAGCACCAGTGTGGGAAGCCTCTGCACAGGCTCCCTGGGGCAGCAGAGCCTGGCAAGGGGCACACGGGCAGCACCACCCAAATGCAGGCATGGCTCAGACTGCATCTGCTCGCGGGGCAGAACAACAGCTTCTTGCGAGTACGGGCGGCGCCACCTCCACACTGAAACGGGTGTTCCTGGGGGACTCTGAGCGGTGCTAGGAAAGACCCTCTTTTGCTTTAAATGGTGCCCTTGTGCTCCTCAGAGGGCTTGCACAGTCTCACCTCTGCCGCTGGTGCGGGTGCCGGCTGACACCAGGCAGCAGGCCCACAGCATGGGCAGCCGCCATCTGACCAGGCAAGGCGGGTTGGACTCAGCTGGCAGAGAAGCACCAGGTGAGCGGGAAGGGCTGTGGGTAGGAAACGGCGGGTGCAAGGCTGGTGGGGCCAGTCCTTCTGGCAAGGGAGAAACAGCTACAGGGCAAGGGCTCTGGGGTGCTCAAGCCCACTGCGGCCCGGCTAAGAGTGGAGACAGGTTGGCCGAGGGTTGGCGCGCGCGGGCTCCTGGCCAAGCAGACCACACTGAGGTCTCTGCCACACCTCGGCGTGACTCCAGCCATTTGCATAACTTCTGCCAGCCCCGTTCTTGGTCCCCTCATTTGTAAAACTGATGGTAATATTTCTATCAAGGTGGTGTTTGAGAAATTGAAAGGATACTCATTCTATTAAAAGGATGATATAATATGTATAAAACAATACAATAGAAAAGCTATCCTATTACTATGAGACTGTTAAAAAAAAGAATACGTAACTGAAAATCTTAGACAATGGTTGGCTCAGCTACTATTTTCACAGTGGTAGGAGATGCTGTCCTTAGGGGGTATATATGACTAATTCGAGAATGTACCTTTCTCAATTTATGAAGGCTGCATGTCAAGGAACCTAGTCACTAATTGAGCTTTATTCCATCCAACTTCAGTGATTAATTTATTTAAGCAGTCAATTATTTTTTCTCCAAGAAGCTTTAGTTCTAATTTAGCTCTCTTGGCCAAAACAAATGGGTTTCCATGTACACTACCTAGAACAAGATACTGCCCAGGTTTAGCATGAATGTGGAACTTTTAAAGTCCTGACAATGGCTCTGTGGCAAACCAGTGAGCAAGCAGGTCAGTGACAGTGGGGAGGGAGGATGGGGGGAGGTTCCTGCTTGGAGCCAGGGCCTCAGGGAAAGGCCCACCACCTCTAGTTCCACACAGACAGGATGCACATCCAGGCCCTAGCGCTGGCCTGCTCTCCTGGGGTCCTGGGCCCTGATGGTCCCCACGCCACCACTGTGGTCGGAGACCACTGCTGGAGATCACTGGCCACATCAGTGTGCGGCCTCTGCATGCTAAGGTGACGTGCCAGTCCCTGCCACCCTGCACCGACAACCCTCTCTGCAGAAGAGGACAAAGCAAGGCCTCGCCCTGCCACACTTCCCACACACAGCTGTCGCTGCGACCCTCTCAAATACAAGCTGCGTGACTATCTGGGCATTTGGGCACAGGTGCTCTTCTCTTCCTCCCATATGATGGTATTGTAGTGCCCGTAACTGCCACACCCTGACAGTCCTGCTACAGTGGCTGTGCGCTCCAGAACACGAGAACATTACGGGCACACACGGGGGACTTCCGCTCAGCAGCTGGCTATCAAACAAAACTAGTGCAGGAGCCCAACTGGGTCGTAAGGCCGAGACCTACCCCGAGTTGTGACGACAAATGGCAGCGCTCGCTGGCGAGTGCTGGATGCTGATGAACTAGTTTTGATTCTTGGAGAACAAGCAGCCCACAGATACCTGCTGTGCCTACAGGTTCCAGATGGACAGGGAACTGGCCAAAGCGCACGTCTCGGAAACACAGCCAAAGCCCACATCCAGAGACAGAAGAAGGGTGGGTAACCCAAGACAGGTCCTCCTCCAGGGCTACACCCGCACACCTCCCACAAGGCCCTCCCGCCTCAGGACGCAGGCAGGAGAGTGGAAGCTGCACCTCAAGTCGCAGTCCAGGCCGCAGGGTTCCGTGATGGGCCCCGGCTGTGGCAGCCGCTCACATCTTTGATCAGAAACAGGAAGCTGGTCAGATTCCCTGGTGCAGATGGGCCTTCTTCTCCGCTCCCCTAAGAAGAGGGGGAAAGTTACTCAGGAAGATAACTCAGTCCACAAGCCGTGTAGGACTGGCGAACACACCCTGCAAAAGGCCAGGCCGCACCCATTCTCAGTGTTGTTGGCCGCAGGAAGGCCATCACACTTCTCAGCTATCCCAGAACAGGGCAAAACCAGCTGCCTGCCAGCACACAAGCTGCAGAGTGGCCGGGCTTCAACAACACTTTATTTATATGAGTACATGGCATGCTGCTGAAATAAAGTGTTTCAGTAAAACTTTATTTGGTGGCAGGCTGGACTTTGGTACGTGGCTGTCGTTTGCTGACCATAATTTAATTAAAGGAAAGAAAATATGCAACCTAGAATGAGATGACTAAAACCACATCTCTGGAAAATCAAAGAGGCGTGGCTGATTCTGCGTGGCTTCACACACGAGTGCCAGCCTCCTAGGACGAGGAAACCTAGCATGACCCGAACCCATTAAGAAGTTCAACCCGCTGGCCCCAAAGGACCAGACAGGGTCAGAGAAAGGACACTGGGGGATCGTGTGGACGGAAAAGCGTACAAGTTGCATCCATGTGGCTGTTTGGAGAAAGCAAAGGAAGAAAAATAACGCTTTAAAAACATCCCCACGTCCCCAAACCTAAGCTGCAAGCCGATACCTTGGCAGGGCCTGCTGCACGCTTGCCAGGGTCCGAAGCGGTTCCAGTAAAACTGCTGCGGCCCGCCTTCGACCGGGATGCTGAAGGAGTAGCGTACGTCGGGGCTGTACAACTCCCCCACGGACAGCACCTGCGGGCGCAGGGCAGGCGGGGAGATGTCTGTGGGACCAGCACCTCCGGGGGTCCAGGGGGTAAGGGGCACGGGGGCACGGCCGCACTTCTACCTGCAGCAGAAGGTCTTGGTCAAGGCGGTCAGTGGCGTTGATCCTTTCTACTACGTGGTCAGACCCGCTGTACTCAATCAGCGCGCTCCCGACACGGATTTCCCTTTTGGACATTGTGACAACGAAGTCCCCATTTAGCAAGAATTCACCCTTGCTGCTTGATAAAGCTGCAGGTGAGAAAAGAGAGTTCGCTGGGGGGCCGCCAGGACCACTTGTGTGGAACATGAAGGACGCCTCGCCCGGCAGAGGAGGAGAGGCTAGGACTGCGGGGTCCAGCAAGCTCGGGCTTGGCCTGCCGTGCTGTGTGCGGGCTCACAGAGCACTCGCTCGCTCCTCCCCAGCTTGACTCCTAGCAGAGGAAAGGCGGTGCCCCTGGAAAGAAGGGACAGCGATACGGGGTTGGTAGCCTGCGAGCCGGGATCCGTCCAGCCCGCAGCTACGGGATCACAGACGCTCACAGCCTCCGGGTCTGAAGTGTGCACACCAAGAGGGCGCCTGCACACACGGCTCTCGTGTAAGTACAGAAGTTGACAGTGCTACACATTACAATGTGTTGAGCTACATGTCTCTGTTAGGTCTTCCTTGGCCAGTGTTGAAATCTGAAACTATGTGGTTGATCTGATGCTGGCCTGCCCCTGCCTGAGGCCACCGTGGGTCTGAGCAGGACCCTTCCCCTGGGCTGGTTCTGTGCTCCACTGCCCTCCCCTCCCACACAGATTGGGCTGACACGAGGTCACCGGGATGGCAAAGACAGGATGGAGGGTGGCTCCACTTGCTCCCCAGGCTGTAGAGAGCCAAGGCCAGCAGCCAGGCCGGGAAGACGCCTGTGTAGAGGTCCTGGCAGCCAGGGCTGAGGAAGCTTGGCATTTCACCCAGAGCTTCTGTGTGAGTCACCAGGAACTTGATTCTGCGGTACCAGCGCAGGCCCCTCACACAGACCTCCTGCCAGGCTCCGGGTGAGGCTACCCCAGATTCTCGCTGAGTGCCAGTGCCCTACTGCCCCCGCACGTTGGGCTAACTTGCTACGCAGAGAAAGTTTGGCACTTAATGTGAGCAGACTGCTCTTCTTCAACCGCAGGGCCTTCCTCTGCCACACTCTGCTCCCCGCTCTTTCCCACTACCTCAGTGCTTCTCCAGGCACTGAGCATGAGCCAGAGCTGGCCCTCGAGGGTGAGGGTGCCGGCGCTGCTTCACTCATGAAGCAAGAGTGACACTGCTGGCCAAATGAGGGCTGGATAAAAGCGGGTCAATTGTAGACTTTAAAATAATAAAGCTCGAGGCCGGGGCGATAGCTGGGCAGTCGCAGTGCCTGCCTGGCAAGCACAAGGACCTGGGTTCGATCCCCAGTGCCACATGCCGCACGGCCCCACTCCCTGGCGCACTGAGCCAGCCACTGAAACTGGACATGGTGGCGCATGCCTGTAACCCCAGCTCTGGGGAGGCTGAGACAGGAGGATCACCATGAGTCCGATCTGCGTAGCAAGACCCAGTACCAAATAAATGAATAAAAGATTTAAAGAAATTTAAAGAAAAACAAAACTTATAGAACCTGAAACTGAAAGCTTTCCAGGTGCTGGAGGCAAGGGCGGGGGTGTGAGTCTAAGTGCCCAACCACGCATTTACGGGGGACAAACCATGAATTCTGGGCTCTCGGCACTGTGTGCATGTGACCACTGGCTCCCAGAGCAGTTCGTGAGCGCTCTCACCACGGACTGAGATGGAGGCGCCTACTCCAGGAGGCGGGTAGCCAGCGCTGTAGTGCACATGGACAGCAACACCCTGAGCTACGCACTTCCTGCAGACAGCGCTTGCCTGTTAAATATGCCTCACTAAAGTAAAAACAAAAATGGAAGAGAGGGAAAGAAACCTGGCCTGGAGGCAGAGACGGCAGCTGCTTCCGAAGGAAGAGTCACTTACCAGAGGGGGAAGGACGCTGGGGTAGAAAAGCCACAGCAACTTTGCCCCATCACCCCTGTTCAATTCAGCCCTCAAGTGAAGAAGGTGCTGCTTGCCTACGTACAGCAAATCGGAGGCAAAAATACTTAGTGATTGTTTTATTATGCATTTGGAAAACTGGCCAGATCAAAATTCAAACAGGGTTTTGCTGAATATAGGGCAAAATAAACCTATTTTCATACTCTTTGATTACCATCTCGCGATGAAACCCCAATCACGGCCTTTCCCTACAGTGCTTATTGTAAACTTCTGGTTTGACTTTAAGAAGTCGCTCCTCTCTGATGGGGTTTTCTCCCTGTGTGCATCCTGCCCTGACCACGGGTTCCTGATCACAGCTCTGAGGTCGGGTCCAGTAAAGACGTCTAAGTTAGGTTGCGAAAGCATGACTTACAGATTTAAGTTAACCTCTGCAGGCCAGGTGCCTTCTAATCATGAAAATCTACTTCCAGCACTTGCTAGCCCCTGACACTTTCCAAGGGACTCAGCAAATGCTTGCTGGATGCATGAAGTTTCTGCGCTCCTCTTCTGCGTACAAACAGAAGCCAAACAGGCTGAGGCTGCAGAGCTTTGCAAACGTAAAGACTTCATCTGCTAGACTGCAAGGCCTTTAGTAAAGAAATCCTTGAAAAAGCACACTGTTTGTAAACTCAAGACAGACCCCAACCCTTAGTGCATAGTCAATGATGTCACAGGCTGAGGGCTTGTGGGTGAAGCTGACGTTTGTGATGGGAGCAGAAGGGTCCCAGCCAAATGACTTGGCCCAGGCCACATGTCCCTGGGCTGCTCCTTAAGGTGACAGCATGACACAGTCAACAAAACCAAGTTCTTTTGAGTCAACTGCACACTAGCTACCCAGCTGACAAAGGGGGACACAAAATGTCACACGGCAGGTCTGTGAGTGATAATCCAGCTTTGTTTAGATTCACAGAGCAAAGGTCTTTCCTGTGTTAATTCTGGGGTCTGGTCCAGCTTCCGCTGACCCTAGGCATTTGCCTCTTCCTTCACCTCAGTTAAAGGTGGGGAGCGAGGAGGGAGGGGTTCAAATGGGGGTGGGGCTCCTCCCAGATTTGCTCTGGGAAATAGGGCAGCCTAAGCACCTAGAAAGCCATTGGGGCCAGGAAGTGTGATCGATGCCTGTCTTCCCATGGCCACAGTGAAGCAAGGGTTAAGGGCCCCAGAGTCGAGTATCACAGACAACAACGGGATCTTGGTGGCTGGGGACAGTGGGATTGAGCCAGCACGGGAGGGAGGGGCCCCGGGAGGCAGGACCTCTGACAGACTTTCTGCTCCAGTACCTCGTGAAACAAATCGTTTCCTGAAAATCAGAGCCTCCCGCTCAGCCTCCTGCTAATGCGATTAGGGCAGCTAATTTCCTGGGTTGCTTTCCCTCCCGCTGCACCCACCAGGCCTGGGTTCTGCTCAGGCCTTGCTCCTGCTCCCTCTGCAAAACGTTTCAGAAGAGTGTGGCTTGCGGACCTTTGCACAGCCACTGGGGAGCAGAAAGGAGGCTCGGCCACAGGCCTGGGGCTCGGGTGGGGCTGGGGCTGCTGACCTTGGCGGTGCTTTCCTCCACGCTGGGAGTAAACAGCCACATTCCCCGCGCTCGCTTGAGGACACCAAGCTCCTAACCTCTTGCGTAAGCACTTTCTCACTCGGCGCTCCTCCTCCCTGGACAGACTTTGCTGAAGAATAAAAGGTCAGCATGAATCCACCTGAATCCAGGTAGCTGACCAGGGAGGATGGAAGAGGCCACTACTCCGAGGGAGATTATCTTCCCAGGAAGAGCCCTTCTTCCTTCGAGGAGAAGAAAAGCGTAACTCAGCGTGGCTCCCAGCTCTCAGGAAATGAGCTCATGAAGACGGCATGTGGGGCTGCTCTGCTTGATCCGGGAGAAGTACAGACAAGCAAATGCACACCCAGATTTATACCCAAGTGCACGGGTAAAGGGCCTGACTCACTGTACGCGGTGGTGGAATGGAAATGGGGGCTCCCCTAACTAAGGAGAAAACGGCACCCGAGGACAACATTGATTTTCTTTTCCAATCTATCCGAATGCTGTGTGGCGATTGAGCCCAGGGCCCTGTGCATGCTAAGCACATGCTCTGACACGGAGTTTCGCCCCAGCCCTGGTACTTTTCTTGTAACATTACCACTCCTCTGGGCATCTGGAGCTGCAGAAGTCTGAGACAGCCACAGAGCAACTACTTACGAGAAGAGACCAAGCTGTGCCTGCCTCCAGAGGCACCCCGTCAGCGAGGCGGCACGAGCCACACTGCCCACAGCCCAGCTGGTGCCTCCTTGGGGCCCGTTCCCTGCAGGGTTGGCGTCAGAAGCTGATGACGCCAGCACGCAGCCTGACCTCAGAGCACCAGCTGTCACGAGGACAAGCGTGCGGCCTTCACATCGAGGGGAGGACGGTGCCTTCCTTTCCACTGTTTAGCTCAGTACCCTGGAGGCAGGCTGGCAGTGTAGCTCAGTGGCGCACAGCCTGCCTGCCAGCGCAAGGCCCTGAGCTCGATTCCTGGTACCAAAAGCAAATGAATGAACAAACACCACCTTGCAGCTCTGACTCTCTTCGTTCGAGCAGCTGGACGCCTCCTCACACAGCACACCTACCGTCACATCAGGACGGCTCCAGTCTTACAAGCGATCTGGAACCTGCTGCATCCTGTCCTCCATGTTCCCATGGGCACCGGCCCATCAGCCACTCTCTCCGGGGCTCCTGCAATGCCTTCTGAGCAGCTTCAGTGCTCCGGCCTACCCCTTCCTGTCCCCCCTGCTCAGCACAACACTCCCTGGAAGTGTGACTGTGAGGTGTCAGGGCCTGCCGAAGCATCTGCGTCTCTCGCCACACAAGTCAGGTCCCCCTGAGGGTGGCGCAGTCTGTCCTCGTAGCTCGAGGGCGTCTGGGAAAGTCTCTGGGCTCAAGCAGCAGTGGCCACACTGGCCCCCCTCAGCTCTGAAACGAGCAAGGCGCGCTCCTGCCCCAAAACTGGCGGCAGCTCTTCCCTGGCCGGGTCTTCCCAAGCAGCCCGTGCTTCCTCTCTCTTTGATCATCCTTGGTAACCCAACGGCCTTCGTGCCATTCTGACTTCCAATACCACATTTCACCCACTAAGAGTATAGAGTTTGCTTGCTAAGTTGTTTCCCTCCTTCCATATAGGTATTAAGCAGGGTGTGGGAGTTCAGCCTGCAATCCTAGCAGTCTGGAAGGCTGAGGCAGGGGGGGTCATAAGTTTGAGCCCATCCTGGGCAACTTAGTGAATTACTGAGTCCCTGTCAAAATAGAAAAGATAAAGGGGCTGGGAAGCTCAGTGCTAAGGGCTGGGGCTCCAGCTCCAGTACCAAAAGGAGGCGGTGGCGGTCGTACTGAGAAAACAGACTGTGATTACTATTTTGTCTGTTTTGGTTTGCTGTCAGTAACATAGTGCTAGTGCATACTAAATAAGTGACTGAATGGTGCCACGCAGCAGAAAACGTCACGGCGGGGCCATACACAAGTGCTGCAGTCCACACACCTGGCTAGGGGATCACTC